GAATGTTGTTCAGACAGCTTTGGCTAGGATGACTTCGGATCATATTCGTTGGTTCTGGATTATGGGGGTTTGAGAGCTCAAGGATCTTCGTTTAGATTCGAGAATATGTGGCTTAAAGCAGATAACTTTCAGGGGAGGGTTCAGTCCTGGTGGGAGGAGGCTTCTGTGGTTGACTCTTGGTGTTTGTTTTAGCTGGGAAACTTTGCTTCCTGAAGACTGAGCTTAAAAGATGGAATAATGAGGTGTTCGGGAATTTAGAATGGAGGAAGAACTGGGCGCTTGTTTATATTGCTGAGATTGATCTGTTGGAAAGGGTGGGCGGTATTGTGGAATTTCAGCGTACCCGGAGAACAGACAGTCGGGTGGGTTTGGCTAAGATTGCCATTATGGAGGATCTTTCATGGTGACAAAAATCTCGGGCTCTATGGCTCAAAGAGGAGACCGCAATAAGAAATTCTTTCATAGGCTCACTAATGGCCATAGGAGGGGTAACCATATCGGGCAGATCTGTGTGATGGAGTGGAGATGTGTAGGGAGGAGGACGTGTGTAGGGGGATTGCTTCTTATTATCATAGGCTCGATTCTGAGACTGTGGTTGGAGACCCAGGGTCAGTGGTCTTCATTTTGATTCAATCTTAGTTATGGAGAGTGATGGGATTGAGAATCCTTTTTTTGAGGTGGAAGTGTTGAAGGCATTGAAGAGTTGCAATGGTGATAAGTCTCCGGGTCCGGACGGGTTTACTATGAGATTTTTGTTGGAGAGTTGGGATGTGGTTAGGAATGAGGTTATGGACATTTTCAGGAGTTTTATTCCCCCGATCGGTTTGAGAAGTCGTTGAATGCTTCTTTTAGTGCCCTTATCCCTAAGAAGGGTGGAGTTTCTGATGTTAAGGATTTTAGACCAATAAGTCTTGTGGGGTGTATTTATAAGTTTATTGCTAAAGTCTTTGCTTTGAGAATGTGGGAGGTGCTGGATGGGGTTATTTCAGAGTCCCAGAACGCTTTTGTTGGTGGTCGACAAATTCTTGACTCCGTTCTTATTACCAGTGAGTGTGTGGATTCTAGGCTGAGCAGTGGTGAATCGGGAGTTCTATGCAAGCTTGATATTGAGAAGGCGTACGATGATGTCAGTTGGAGCTTTATGTTGTATCTGCTTTAGAGGTTGGGTTTTGGATAGCGATGGAAGAGGTGGATTGAGGCTTGTATTTCCTCAGTTAGATTATTTATTCAGGGGAATGGATCTCTTATGGGGTTCTTTGGTATCTCTCGGGGTTTGAGACAGGGCGATCCTTTATCTTCGTTTTTATTCTTTATTATTATGGAGGCTTTCAGTAGGTTGTTGAGAAGGGCAGTGGATCTGGGTTTTATCAGGGGCTTTAGGATCGGTAGAGACTCGGGTCATCAGATGGAGATCTCTCATTTACTGTTTGTGGATGATACCTTGGTTTCTAGGTGTGTCCTAGTTTGTTTTTAGGCAGTTTCTGGTTTGAAATAAATGTAGGAAAGAGCATGCTTGTCCCTGTAGGGGAGGGGTTTAGGACACCATATCTCTTGTTGTAGTACTTGGGTGTGGGGTGGGCTCTTTTTCTCTCTCCTATTTGGGTTTGCCGTTGGGTGCTCCGTCAAGGAGGGTAGGAGGTTGGGATCCTGTGATTGAGCGATTTGAAAGGAGACTGGTTGGTTGGAAGAAGCAGTATCTTTCGAAGGGCGGGAAAGTTACTCTTTTAAAGAGTACACTGTTGAGCCTCCCTACATAATTTTTCTCTTTTTTCAGATTCTCGCCTTTATAGTTGAAAGGATTGATGACTTCAACGGAACTTCCTTTGGGGTGGACGGGAGGAGTAGTTCAAGTATCATCTTGTTCGTTGGGATCAAGTGTGCAGGCCAATTCCGTTGGGAGGTCTGGGCATTAGGAGGTTGGCCTATTTCAACAGGGCTCTTTTCGGAAAGTGGTTGTGGAGATTCGGAAGTGAGCGTCATCGTCTTTGGAGGAAGTTGGTTGTGGAGATTCGAAAGTGTGCCGCTACAGGGAGGAGAGAGGCGGGTGGTCCTCTGATCTGGTAAGATTCGCTGGAGGTATAGGTGTTTGGAAATTCATTCGTAAGGGATGGAATGAATTTTCTAAATATATTAGATTTAGAGTACGGGATGGCAGGGGGAGTTCGATTCTGGGAGGATTTATGGTGTGGTGATCGCCCGTTGACTCGTTCCTTTCCCAAACTTTTCCGGACTGCCGTGGATAGATATGCTTTGGTGGTAGATTGTTATCGGCTTGATAACGGTAGGCTCGCGTGAGATTTGCGTTTTCGGCGTTCCTTTCTGGATTGGTAGTTGGATGAGTTTGCAGGTCTGTTAGAGGAGTTGTACGGGCAAGAGGTATATGGTAGTGGCACTGACTTTCTGGTTTAGGTGTCTTCCTCTCAGGGGAGATTCGAGGTTCGATCCCTATTCTGTTGTCTCTCTGATTTTCATGGTCTTAATTTCCCTTAGAAGACGGTATGGCGTTCCAAGGCTCCCCTCAGAGTGGCTTTCTTTGTTTGGACTGCTGTTTGGGGGATTTTGACCTTGGCTAATTTGAGAAAGAGAAGACAGATTACACTTAATTGGTGTTGTTTGTGCAAGAGGAGTGGCGAGTCTGTGGATCACTTTCTTTTGCATTGCCGTGTAACTCACGATTGTTGGAGTCTTATCTTTGGCCTTTTTGGCGTCCATTGGGTTATGCCTCAGTCTTCGAGGGGTTTGATTGACGGTTGGCGAGGTTGTAGTGTGGGAGCCCACGCCTGTGAGTGTTGGAGGGTGGTTCCCCTTTGTGTTTGGTGGTACTTATGGAAGGAGCGGAATAAAAGATTTTTTTTGAAGGGGAGGAATCTTCCTTAGGGGCTTTGAAGTTTCATATTATTAGCTCTCTTTTTAGTTGGGTTTTGGGGAGAAATTGTATATCCATTGATGAATTTATTGATTTTTTGGGTTCGGTGGGGTCCTTAGGACCTTGTCTCTAGCTTTGCCCTCTATATAGCTCTTGGGACACGTTCCCCGTTTGAACGCTTTCTAATACATTTTACTTTTCAAAAAAAAAAAAGAAAAGAGTATTTTAATAGATAGATTAACCTTACACCATGGATTAATAATAAGAGAATTGAAATTTGCTAGTAATAGTGTAATAGGTCCTTTTCCCAACCAAATCCTATTTCATGACAAGAATTTAAGAAAAGTAAGTCCCTTTAGCCACAACACCAACTTTAGGATTGAGGAGTTATTTAGCATCAGAATATGTTGGAATGCCGGGGAATACGTAACAAATCTTAATTGGGTCATTACCCAATATGGCCTCCGTTAATCGAGGGTGCTGGGAGGGGTGGACTAGATACAAACCTAACCTTTGGCTTTATTTGCATTTGGTTGCTGCTTGCAGGATTCAAAACCCACGTTCTCACGCTTGACAGTCCGAGCATTTTACCAGCGCATCAAGCATTATTTGGAATCGTTCTTGATTGTCAGGTTCAATTAAGGAACATTTTACAGTATTTAGGTACATCCTGGATATTGAAAATTAATGGATAACTTTGGTTTCATTTGTTCGATAAAAAAGTTGTCATAAATTTATAATCCCATAAAGACTTATCTTTGATAACAAATGAACACAAAGTTTTGCCGCTAATAGCTACTCCAACGGATTTAGTTAGATGCGCCAGTTCTACAGGGATCAAAAAAAAAAAAGGAAAAAAAAAAAAGAAGAGGAGGAAAGTAGAAAGAAAAAGAAAAAAAATAAAACAAAAGATGTTCACAATTTTTATAAACAAAATTGAGAATCTATGTATGTCTCAGAAATAGATCCACCAAAGCAAATATCTTTTTCAGTTTTTTTGTGTAATTTGGAAACTTTCTGAACTATACTGGGATTTTTGGCTTAAAAGTCTTGGGATTTGAAGTTTCTATATTTCTGATACCCAAAATTTATATACTGCATAGTTTTATATACTTGGAATCTACAAGTTATAGCAGCTAAGGAAAAAAGAATCTCCATATTATAGCATCTGATGTCTATTTCTTCCTTTGTCCATTGGGAATTTTTATGGAACTCTAGTGACTGCCCGTACACATATGAGACTTTCGAGTGTGAAGTGTAAGTATTGAATATTTACTGGGCTTGAGTTTTGAGGCTTTTGAGAATCATTTTATTTTAATTTGAAAAACAGTCGGAGTTTGTGCAACCAAAAAGTTAAAAAATTATCATGCACTATAGTGCATGACCCTGTGAAGGAAAAATATCTCTTAAGCCAAATAGTGTGGCAGAGAGCAATTAGTTTTATAGATGGTGCCTACTTGATTGGATGAACAAGCTACAATGAATAATAGCAACGACTCTTGCTGCACATCCCAGGATGGTGCCCTAATTTTACTAGTAGTGATGTCAAGCTATAGGCAGATACAATTAGGTGACATGACTAACAGCATCTGTAATTAATTTTTTTCTCTACTACCTTGATGAAATGCAGCCTTTTAAAGTTAGGCTTACACTATTAAAATGTGAAGGGTCAAAAGGGTAAAACTATGACCCTTTTCTCGTATTTTAAATGGTACAGAGTAAAAAATGAAGATAGACATTGAAGGAATTATTGTGCTGTAATGATATTATCCCAGTATATGGGAAAGGGAATACAGTTGTACAAACACAGACATGAATGCATTTAAAACTCACCAAGTGAATCTTATTGCCTGGGACATTTTGTTTTGTCTGGGATAATATATCAACCTGTCAACTGTTTCCAGATTAGTAGAGGATCAAACAAGGAGGTGGCATTCTTTATGTCATTTTGTCAATTTCATTTATTAGTGATAGACATATGTAATGCATTAAGATTATGTAAATATATTTTTATCTTTTTCTTTTGAGAGCGTGTGTGAGAGGGAGAAAGTTTGAGAGGAATGATTATCTATTGAAGATAATTTTGTTTGTGAACAAACTTTATTAGGCTTATCTTATTGAAGCTTAAATGCAGGTGGCTATATTTCTTATTCAGAGGAATCGTCATGCATTGATTGGTAGAGCAATTGATGATCATGATATGGAGAGGGTTCTTCATTTCTTGAGAAATGACCCGGTACAACTTCACCAGATGATTCTTTCCCTATAGCTGTGTTTACCAATTGGTGATAAATTTAATGCTTTTGTTGCAGGTTGTAGATGCTCTATATGATTGCAAAAGCGAGGTCATCGGCCCTGGATTTTTTAGATTTAAGGCAGAAATAGGTGATTCTCTTTGTCATGTCCTATTTTAACTAATTTTCATGACCTTAGGGTTTTAATTCTCTGTATAAGTGTTGACATAACAAGATATGAAATATATAGGAATACTAATTAATATTTTTGTTGACATTTTAAAATTTCAAAACACCTACCAATATCATCTGTATATTTGGCATGTTGCTACATGTATCCACTGCTACTTCCATAATTGATGATAGAATCTCCTCTGAATTTCAATCTGCTATGCTATGCTCCATCTCTTGTTGCAAATGTCTTTTGAGAGAGATCTGGATTCTTGTGACTCACTCTTAGCAGATATGATAGCCACGATTTATGGAATAACTTACTGTATTTAGCAGATTTGATTATGCTATAGAATTGCTGTGATTTGATTTGGATTTGATTTAATTTTCTTTCTTGTAATATGAGCATGCACTCTTTTTATCTATAAATACTAGAGCTGTGAATGAGTGAATATCTCATTCAAGCCTTTATACAATTCTCTCCTTTTTCTTCTTTATTGTATTTCTACTTGGTATCAGAGTCAACACCTTTCCACAACTTTTAGCAGCCTTGCTACTTGTGTAACAACCACCTTAGGCTGTTTGTGACATCGTGTGACGTTGCCTATACATGTTTTTCTATGTTGCTGTTTTGTGATCGAAAACGGGTATTTTTAAATTTTACAATTTATTTTTTACTCTTCTAAGGTATGGTAAATTGGGATAGGTTGTCTTTTTGAGTCTACACAGAGGTTCCGGATATTAAGAAGGAGGCTGTTTAGCTATATGTAAGCAGACAACGCTCCTTAAAAAAGTATGTATTTGGATTTTTCGGTAATGGTCTGAGGAGACCCTTTGATTTATTAATAAAATTTGTGGTATTTTTGGAGTTTTTTATTGTCGGGTGACAGATTATGGCAGATTCAGGGTCTAGAATTCAGGGTCCTTGACTATTAATTCTCTTGGCTCAAGTTTTGTGGGTAATGATGCCATTTTTCCCACCAACTCATAAGAAAATCCAGGACTTCAAATCACCACAGTGAAGTTGGATGGCTCCAACTATTTGATTTGGGCACAGTCTGGCAAGATGTTCATTAGTCAAAAAAGCAAGATTGGCTATAATACTGGTTCTGAGAAAGAGCCTGCTGAGTCAGAGAAGGCATATCCATAGTGGTTTGCAGATAACGTTATGGTTATGTCTTAGCTAGTTAATTCGATGCACCAAACATAGTCGTTGGCTATATGTTTATGAAGACTACTAAGTAGATTTGGGATTTAGTTCAACGCACTTATTCTCACAGGCAGAATAATTCACAGATTTTCCAATTGGGGCGAGATATCACCAGGATTTCTCTTCACAATTTCAGGTTACATCGCCAAACTTCTTACTATTTGGGAGGAAATGTCATATTATGATTCCTTCCACTCTTGGAAGGATCCAGATGATGTAGTTTTATATGCATGGATTGTGGAGAAGAATCAAGTGTTTTCGTTTCTTGCCTTGTTGAACGACGAGTTTGAGTATGCTCGTGTTCATTTATTGGGCTTATCTTCATTCCTTACTCTTGAGGATGCATACTCCTATGTGTTGTCAGATGAGAGCCGTACTCATCCATTAGGTGTTGCTTTTGCTAATCGTTCTGCTATGACAGTTCGGGTTCCCAACCTTTCAGGAACTGCACCATCCTAGTCAGTTCAGAGTTCTATCACCTGTCCTCCTATCGGATGACAACGTGGGCAATGTGACCATTGCGTGAAAAGTTGGTTGCATCAAATCTCGTTGTTATGCTCTACATAGATGCCCACTGCAACAGAAACAACAACCTCGATCCTCTGCACATTTTGTTTCACAACTAGTCTCGTTGTCAACTCCTGACAACTCTGCCTTTGCATTTTCTCCCACAGTTACCTTGACTCAAGCTGATTTGGACAAGTTCAAACAATTCTTCAACCAAATGGAGGCATCATCTCAGCCAACCTCCACTTATGCCGACTCAGGTAATATTGCGTCTGCACGTAGCGTATCTACATATTCGACACCATGGATTATTGATTCTGGTGCTTCAAATAATATTACTGGTATGCCCTCATTCTTCCAATTTTATAGTATTTGCTCTGGCCATCGCAAAGTATGCCTTGCGGATGGCTATCCATCATCCATTACTGGGAATAATTCATTAACTTTGTCAGATGCACTTCATGTTCCACAGTTGACTACAAATCTTATTTCTGTTAGTAGCGTTACTAAACAATTAAATTTTAGTATAACGTTCTTTCCCTCTCATCTGTAATTTTGAGGATTGAAACAAACGATTCCGTGGGCGTGAAATGGACTGTCTATACCTGTTGGATGCTTCTTTGTCTCCTCAAGCACATTCAGTTCCATTTTCTAATTCTGTTTCATCTAATAAAGCCTAGCTTATGCACTGGCACATGCATTTAGGACATATTTCTTTCGGTTATTTAAAACATTTATTTCCTTATTTTGTAACGTGGTAGTTGCAGATTTATCCTGTGAGACGTGTCACCTGGTTAAACATGGTGGTTCCAATTATCCTGCTAGTAGTAATAAATCTGCTTTAACACCTTTTGATCTTGTTCATTCAGATGTGTGAGGTATTTGCTCAATTACTTCTAGTCTTGGATTTCGATATTTCGTGATGATCATTGCCGTGTTACATGTGTTTATCTTATGAAAACCAAAAATGAGGTGTACACCATTTTTAAAATTTTTATGACAATGGTTCAAACTCAATATGGTCGTACCATTAAAAAATTCAAATCTGACCAGGGTACGGAGTACACTTATGGGGAGGTACAGTGGTTATGTACAAAATTTGGGATTGAGCATCAAATGTCTAATGTTAAAACCCCTCAACAGAATGGCCGTTCCGAGAGAAATAATCGCTACATCCTTGACTTAGCCAGAGCAATCTACATTGACATGAATGTTCCCCATTCATTTTGGGGAGATGCAGTTCTTACCGTTGTTTACATCATTAATATGACTCCTTCTAGGGTTCTTAACTTTGCAGCCTCACTCTCAATCTCACATCCCAATTCATCTCTTTTTTTGATTCCTCTGCGAGTCTTCGAGTGTGTATGCTTTGTTCAGTAGTTGGGGCAGACTCGTACAAAGCTTAACCCAAAGGCTTTGAAGTGCGTTTTTGGGTTATTCTTACTCTAAAAAAGGTTATAGGTGTTACCATCCTTCCAGTCGTCGGCGGTTTATATCTATAGATGTTTCTTTCTTTGAGCATACACCATACTATAGTGGTTCAGTTGGTTCTCAAAGTGAATGGTTCCCATTGATATAATTGAAAATCACCTTCTTCCGTCTTCAATTCCTCTACCTCTACCTGTTTCGTCTTCTATGATTCCTCCTCATGATACCCTTCGAGTGGGGGGAATTGTTCATTTTCCTTCGGTAGCAGCTCCGCCTTCTCAAGCTATTACTTTGCTTGATGATCGCCCCATTACTCTTCGAAAGGGTAAACGTTTTTATACATACCCTATTTCTAATTTTGCTTATGATTGTGCTCTCTCACCCTCCTATCGGAGTTTTCTTGTTTCTGTTGCCTTGGTTCCTCTTCCTTCTAGTGTTGTAGATGCACTAGCACAACCTCAATGGCGTGATGCTATGACAGAAGAACTACAAGCACTTGAGAAAAATCAGACTTGGGACATGGTTCCGCTTCCTATTAGACGAAAGGCTGTGGGTTGTCGTTTGGTGTTTACAGTTAAGCATAATCCAAATGGGTCAGTTGCTTGTTACAAGACTCGGTTAGCTGCCAAGGGTTATGCTCAGACTTATGGCATAGATTATCAAGAGACTTTTGCCCCTGTTGCTAAGATGAATACCATCCTTGTTTTATTTTCCGTTGCTGCGATTCAATCTTGGCCTCTATTTCAGTTAGATGTCAATAATGCCTTTCTCAATGGTGATTTGCAGAATAAGGTGTACATGGTTCCCCCTCTGGGCTTTTGTTCTCCTGCTCATTCTGTTATGGTTTGTCGTTTTCGTTGTTCCCTCTATGGCCTCAAGCAGTCTCCTCGAGGTTGGTCTGATCGCTTTGGCACTTCCATGCTCAAGTTTGGTTTCCATCAGAGTGCAGCTGATCATACCTTGTTCTTACGTCATTCAGGCGGTAAGACAGTTGCTTTCATTGTGTATGTTGATGATATTGTTCTTATCGGATATGATACTACCGGAATTGCTGAGGTTAAGAGCTATCTTGACTGTCGATCTGTTGAGGAGTTGGTTGTTTTTTTGGCCTCTTTGAAGGCTTGAGGCGTTTTGGCCTTGTTTTTTTTGTACTTGGGTTTCGCTCCCCTTTTGAGCGGTTTTTCAATAAAATTTACTTACAAAAAAAAAAAGAGTTATCTTGACTGTCAGTTTGAGATTAAGGATCTTGGCCCCCTTCGGTACTTCTTGGGCATTGAGTTGGCTCGCTCCAAGGTTGGCATTTTCATCTCTCAACGTAAGTATGTTCTTGACTTGCTTTTTGCTGCTGATTAGCTTGGCGCTCATCCTGTTGATACTCCGATTAAGCAGTATCATCGATTGGTTGATTCTGAGGGGGAGTTGTTGTCAGATGTTGGTCAGTATCAATGACTTGTGGGGAAGCTCATCTATCCATGACTCGACCTGACATTGCTTATGCCGTGAGTGTCATGAGTCAATTCATGGACTCCCTTCGTACCCCTCACCTTGATTCAGCTATTCGGATCCTTCGCAACTTAAAAGGGTATCCGGGCCGTGGTATTTTGTTTGCCAATCATGGTCACTTACGTGTTGAGGCTTAGACAGATGCTGATTATGCAGGATCAGTTTCAGATAGGACGTCAACTTCGGGCTATTGTACCACTATTGGTGGTAACTTGGCATAGTAAGAAGCAGGATGTTGTCTCTCGATCTAGTACAGAGGCAGAGTATAGGGTTCTGGCTCTTGGGTATTGAGTTGCCATGTCTGAAAATCTTGATGACAGACTTGTGTCTTCCAGTGTCGCTTCTATTCTCACTCCACTGCGACAACAAGTCTATCATTAGCATAGCAACAAATCCCGTTCAGCATGACTAGACTAAGCATATAGAGGTGGATCGTCACTTCATTGGAGAGAAGATCATCTCTGGTCAAATTTGCACTCTATTTGTCACAAGCTCTTAGCAACTTGCAGACATTTTTACAAAGGCGTCAGCAAGATTTTGTTTGAGAATGTATTATCCAAGTTGGGCGTTTCAGATATCCACGCACCAACTTGAGGAGGGGTGTTAACAGATATGATAACCATGATTTATGGAATGACTTACCGCATTAGCAGATTTGATTATGCTTACAATATGCCATGAAATATGCTGTGATTTGATTTAATTGCTTTTCTTGTAATATGATCATGTGCTATTTTTATCTATAAATACTAGAACTGTGGATGAGTGAATATCTCATTCAATATTTTACACAATTTTCTACTTCTTCTATATTGTAATTCTACTCTTAAAACATATTTTTTTATTAATGTCATGAACATCAGTGGCTTGCACTGTAACCTGATCCACTGTGGCCCTTTCTAGACGATTATTATAGTAATTCACACTTGAGGAATGCATGTGAGCTAGTCTAAGATGTTGCGTTTGATAGCTGCAAAAGTTGCACTTGAGAATGGAACTGATTATTTTTAAGGCTTTTAACAGTACCACAAAAATGCCTGGATATACAATATTAGTGCATGAAATTAGTTTAGTCTTCCATTTACATTCGCATTCTTAGGACCTCGATGTTGTCTGATGGAACTTCATTTGAGCAGACTTCAATGGCGTGGTGCTGGTGCAAAATTATCTTAAAAGGACCGGACGTGAAGAGTGGGCCAGACAGGTTATTATTTTATTCTTTAGTTTTTATTTTTATTTTTCTTCCTTCTTTTGCATTTTGGTTTCTGTTTTTTTCAGGCATCAGTAGTTACTTTCTATTGTTTTATAAACAAGCCAACTACTACTTTCATTAGCCATCACTGCAGAATGTAAATCTACTTTAGAGTTTCTTTCATATGTAAATGACAAATCATCAGAGTGCATTTTCTTGAATTGGAACCACAAACACCATCAGTTCTGTATGTTTCACATGTTTGACAGTTTAAGGCGTGTTTTCTTTGAGTGGGGTGGTAATGTCTGGGAATGACCATTTAAAAATCAGCGTTCTGGTCTGAATCCAGCTAGGTGATGAGCATCGAACAGGTACCGTATCCATGGGTTTCCTAAAATGGATATTCTGACAAGCACCGTTATATCAGCGGCTAGTGTTAATACAGCATCAATAAGATGCATTTCATCATTATCCAGGCGTTGTACCTACCGTTATGGTGTTCATGCAATAGAACCACCTTGCTGTAATGCAAGTGGGGTTGGGTGTTTTGAATTGAAATCTTTTCGTGCACTTTTAGCATGCATATTTACTTGCAGGCGTTGATTGTTGTCATGATATATGCAGTTCCGGGAAGCTGCGAAGGAAGATGATGACTCTTCATTGCTGAAGATGATGTCAAACTATGGTAAAGATAGTCATAAATGATTCATCAAATGCTATGATCCTAAGGCATGATAATGAACAAAATTAGTTCTTATGGCAGGTGAAGAAGTGGTTACAGCTCTAGGGAGTGAAGTTGACAGGCTAGAAAAGGAAATCCAGGACATCGTCCCCGGTATTCGGCATGTCGATATCGAGGCCCACAATCCAATTGTCCCTCCCCCCTGATATACAATTCTGTAATTGTGGATTATTTTTCTTATATTACCAAGAAATATTAAACATTCAACAAGAGATGTCATTGGAAAGGCCTCTAGCATGTCTCATGCAGCCATTCTGTTAAAATATCTATAAATGATAATAGTGACTCTATTTTCTGTTGATATTTGAATTCCCTTGTTTAAAATTTATTTGAAGATCTACGTTTTTTTTTTTTCTCTCTGTGGTTGTCTAAATTATATTGGTTTGAAATTTTAAAGAATTGTGAAGCATACATGAAATGTTATGCACAAATTCAAAAAAAAATATTCGATGTAGATTTTATTATTGTAAGTGAAAGAGTTTTAATGTTGATAAATGTTCGGGACTTGATACTTGCAAGAGCCGGGGCATTAAGAGCAATGTTGTGTGCAAATGGTTTGGAATTGGTTCATACAGCAGATATACATTGTTTACAAAATTTAAGAAACAAATTAATAGAAAATGAGAAAGAAATATTTTTTTTTTCTTCCAGGGAATTAATGTCCAATTAACTTTGTATGTACATGAAAATTTCGACGGCATTAACTCTCTCCAATAATTTGATGTGAATTTGTTTTCTTATTTGTAATATTGTTGAAAAAATAAAAGGAAGTAGAAATTTTAATCTCTAAAATTAAACAAACTAACTTGTAGATTTAAAAGGCGTTACAATGAAACACCTAAATCATGAATATTTAAATAAAATATTCAATTGTGAAAGTAACATTTAGTAAGTCAATAACATATCTTTTGTTCCTCCCACACTTGTCCTTAAATAGTATAATACAACAAATTGATAATTCAAATAAAATCGGCGTGTAATAATAACGTACACTCTGTGGGTAGTTTTTATGCTGTTTTTGCTCTTGTTTTACTAGATTTGTTTCTGTTTGGCTTGTTTTCGGCTAGACTGGATGGATCTGTTATTCTTTCTTCTGCTAGATCTCAAATCTATCTCGGTTTTTGTTGTACCCGGCTAAATCTCAGATCTATGTCGGTTTTGTTGGGATTTATATGCCCTGGCATAACAAATTCCTATTTGAATTAAAGTGACATATATTAACATATCTGAAATATTTATACTTTATATAATTGGTGAATTCAATATATTATGTTTCGATTCATTATGGAATTGATAGTGTCCACTTGATTACAAGAGATATTTATATATGTATGTGATGGCGATCAATACATGAATATAAATAGTAATCATAAATAGTTCATAATTGGTAATTTTGGATGGACTAATTATTAACTAAGATTTGAACTGGATCCGCGTTAGGTTGAGATATATTGCGAAAGCCGTCGTATGCAATTGCTCCCTATCACTGTCATGGCATTTGACTCTTAAGCATGAGAGAAGTATAGACTCTTTTATTAATTAGTAATTACTTTGATTTGTTCAGCAGAATCTTCGGAATCCATAGACCGACACTTTGGGTAATTATGTAATTAATAGTTAGAGGGTTATATTTTCAATATTTGCATAATTGCTACTTGTATTTATTTTGTATTGATTATGGTTGATCACAAAGTTAATTCGAAGGCTTTCGTGTGTTTTTAGACAAAATGATTTTCTATATATTTATTTAGTTAAATTATCATTTTTGTCAAACAAATGTTTTATTGTGATCAAGCAGTAAATAATCAAAGGTACCAAAATAGATATATTAATTTAGTAGTCGGATTGATGGCTTTATTTATCCGATAACTAATTATGCATAGAGGGTTCAAAATGTAACATTGATTTAGAGGTTATTTATTATTTAATTAGAGTTCAATTAATTTCTTTTAGTAGAGTAGAAATTAATTTATGAATTAATTGAATTGGGTCCATAGTATAATGGATCGGGCCAATTATTAATTCATTATAACCAAGAAAAAAATAAACCCAAAGGATTCTCACTCATAGCCTAACTTGATATTGGAGGCACATTAGATTCGAGATATCACGTTACTTTTAGAGATTGAGAAAAATATAATGTCTTTAATTATTATGTTTATTTTGACTATATATACATGGGGTCCATGATTATTTTAGGTTACAATAATTTTGGAAGAAACGAAATTATTTTCTCTCTATAAGATTTTAGGGTTCGTGTTCTCATCTAATGGAGGCTCCCACAAGCTTAGCTCTCCAAAGTCATTCATGGAGACTTATGAGTGATTCCTAAAGGCAAGATCATTACCAAGAAGATGGAGATCCATATAAGAGGCATCTTATAAAGGGATCTACAATAAGTAAAAACATTCACTTTAGATGAGAGATCTAAGGTTTACTCAAAACACGATGTAAGTTTTCTATCTCTAATTGAATGTATCATCATGTTTTACATGCATAAAACTTATCTCTACACATGAATCAAGATTTTTATTTTAAAATCCCTCTAAAAGTTTTAAAAACTTTCGTTTCCCCAACAGGTTTTTGTTGTCTCATGCTAGATCTTAGACTATGTCGATTTTTATGGTCCCCGACTTGTGCGTAGTTTGGGTGGTTTCACCACCTGTCGGAGGCGCCTTGTGGACGTTGCTTTGGAACTGTTTCCCTTGATAGTGGCTTGACCTTTGTGTCACTCCCGTTGCTTCTAGTCTCAGTTGGTGGTTTCCGTTATTTTTCTCAGCAAATCTGGAGCCTGGTCTTCATTTTTCTTATTTTTGCTTAAGGATTTGTTTACCTTTTTATTGCTTGCCTTTGCTGCATCTGTACTGTCCTTTATGGATTGTGTTGTGTAGATGCCGTATGATTGTTCTCTTATTAACAGGGTAAAAAATAATTTAAAAATTTACAAATATCAATCTTAATTTTAAAATATTCTACAATAATTTTTATCTATAAATCATCTCCAATTTTCAAAACACTTGCCAAAAAATATTCTTCACCTACTTACCAAAAATAAAAAGTACATGTCAAACGAATAAAAATACAATCACAGCATCTTTCCTTGATCATATATATATATATATATATATATATATATATATATATATTTGTCTTTTTCTTGGATTATATATGTTAGTAATGAGACACTGATAAAACCTTAAAAAACAGGACAAAACATGTAAAATAAAAGAAAAATTTAAAATATTGCAATTATTAATCCTATTGTCAAACAATATATACAATTTATAATAATTATATTTATAATCATATATTACTGGAAAGAAAAAAAAGAGATAACATTAACATTTTAAAATTTTTAAGATTAAGTCCTTCTGTACTTAACTATCACTTTCACAATTATATACTATTAACTTTAAAAAAATAAGATCCTTCCGAATTAAAATAACACTGCAATTACATATTATTACTTATTATTAGAAAAAACAATACTCCGTATTAGCTTCTAAAATATTTCTCTACAATTATATAATATTATTTATTATTTAATAAAATATAAAAAATAATAATATTAGTTTTTAGAAGAAAAGAAAAAAAAAAAATCTATAATAAATATATGCGTGTGTGTGTGTGTGTGTGTGTGTGTATATATATATATAGAGAGAGAGAGAGAGTAATATTATCAGAGAAATGAAAACTTAGCTTTCAGAGAAATAGAGGAGAGAGAACGAAAAAAAAGAGAAATGAAAACTTCATTCAAGTATGCTCAAAGTGCACAATGCCTTTTTATAGACTTCAAAACTGGCTTCCTCTGTACGCCACTAATGCTATCTTCCTTTGTAAGCCTCAAACTATGATTTCATGGATGACTTAATATATTTGAGGACCCCATATAATTATATATATATATATATATAACACTCCCCCTTGGGGTCCACAAAACTACATTAAGATATGCCTCGTTAAAACCTTGCTAAGAAAAACCCAGTGGGACAAAACCTTAGCGTAGGAAAAAAAAGTACAGTATTCTTATGTATCTGAAAATAGTATTGCATAGATTAAAATTGTCTCATTAAAACCTTGCCAGAAAAACCCAGTGGGACAAAACCTGGACGAAGGAAAAAGAGTACAGTATGTCAATACCTCTTCTAGCAATTGTTCCCCCTCATTAGATCAATCCTAAAGATCCTTTAGTTGACACATTCCAATGTTGTGCACCAGCTTCTTGAATGTTGTTATTGGAAGTGTTTTAGTGAATAGATCTGCTAGATTTTCACATGAACGTATCTTTTGAATTAATATCACCATTTTTCTGGAGTTCATGTGCATAAAAGAATTTTGGTGAGATATGTTTGGTCTGTCACTTTTAATATATCCTTCTTTCAACTGTGCAATGCATGCCGCATTATCTTCATATAATACTGTTGGGTTATCTTTTATTGATGAGAGACTACATGTTCGAATATGTTGGATCATTAATCTCAACCAAAAACATTCCCTGCTTGCCTCATGAATTGCGAGTATCTCAGAATGATTTGAAGAAGTGACAATCATTATCTGTTTCATAGATCGCCATGATATAGCAGTGCTGCCACAGGTAAACACATATCCTTTTTGTGAATAGGCTTTATGTGGGTCAGAGAGATAGCCGACATCTGCATATCCAGCTAATTGAGAATTTGATGCTTTTGAATAAAACAATCCCATATCAGTTGTGCCACGAAGATATCGCAATATGTGTTTGATTCCATTCTAATATCTGCGAATTGGTGCAGAACTATACCGTGCTAATAAATTGACTGGAAAAATTATATCGGGTTTTGTGCAATTTGCAAGATATAAAAGAGCACCAATCGCACTGAGATAGGGCACTTCAAGACCAAAGAGTTCTTTATCATCCTCTCGAGGACAAAAAGGATCTTTTTTGATGTTAAGTGATCAGACAACCATTGGAGAGCTCAATGGATAGGCTTTATCCATATGAAAACGTTTCAGAATCTTTTATGTATATGTTGATTAATGGATGAGAATACCGCTTGAAAAATGTTCAACCTACAGCCCAAGGCAGAATTTTGTCTTTCCGAGATCTTTCATTTCAAAAAATTTCTTTAAATAAGTGGCCGTCTTTTCGATCTCGTCCAATGTTCCCACAAGATTTAGATCATCAACATATGAGAATATGTTGTCGACAACAATTTCATTTATATTCCATCTCGTTTCATAATTTAGTGAGATCTCATCATTTTCAGATACCTGTGTCTCATCAAAGGCATGTGCCTCATCGAGGGCCATATCATCATCTGTTGCCTTTGCCTCATCAATATTTATGATTTCATCATTTTTAGGTACCTGAGACTCATCA